TCCATATAGGTATTGCAAATATAAAAAGGAATATGGATTTTCAGGACTTTTGAAGTAGTTTCAATACGACTACAAACGATTTGTTTAAAAAATCAAAGATGGCGGCCTTGTGGTCACGTGACCTGGTTTCCATGGTAACAGATATGCGGTAATTGCTTGCCTTGAAGAATTACTACTACGAGCCAAATTGGGGAAAGATTCATAGTAAACTGTCAAAGATATGAATAAATAACTGATTTTCCATCACTTCCTCAAAAGAGCCATGCCTTAATGGTGCTGAGGTACAAAAATAGCACCAATTAAAAAATAATTATAAAATATTTGAGATATAACGCGTGCGCTGATTGGCTGGTTAACGTGTTCATATCAGAGGACAGAGACAAGCTCGCGCGAAATCATTCAAAAAATATTTTATAAAAGCGATATAAAACGTCCTCTTGTGTCTATATACTGTGATAAAATCACTCTGGGAGCTGTAGAGCACTCGCAAAATCAAAGAAACTCTAGGCTACGACTCGTGTTTTTCTACGACATCTCTCTTGCTCTACAGCTCCCATCGTGTTTGTATCACAGTATATAGACACGCGCGCCGTTTTATATTCCTTAAGAGATAGAAGTGATTAGTGCTATCTAGTTTTTGTGCGATTTCACAGATACAGTCAATGTCATTAACGTTGTCCACCGAAAAAAGTCATTTACACATTTATACATTTAGACATTTATACATTTAGACTAAAAAATGTCACGTGTTTCCTCGAACGTTCTGGCATAAAACAATCGCTGAAATACCATTCACCATCTTAAATCCTCAATAAATGGTCGGGGCATTCTGGATTTTCGATTCACGAGTTGAATTTTACATTTAAGGTTCAGGCGGACGCACACGAGGCAAAGAATACATAATGAAACACGTGATATTTCTTTTAGTCTAAATGTGTAAATGTGTAAATGTCTTTTTTCGGGGGACAACGTTAATGACATTGACTGTAATGGTTTGCACTTTGTTAAGGAAAGGTCTAAAGTGGTCTGCTTTAAGTAAACTGGCATGGGTTACCATGGCCACGCTACCCCTCCCCTTTTGAAATAGCTAGGTGTATATGTATTCTATTGAATGAGCAATTCAATAACATGTTGAAGTTGACGTCAGACAGGTTGGCTGTCCAGTTGACCTTACAATTGATGGTTTTCAACCATTTCAAAGAGAATTGAATAACAAAAGACACGGCGGCCATGTTGGAGGATATAACAAAAGAATTCATTGATAATTCTTTTGTTAAGTTCCTCCAACATGGCCGCCGTGAAAACCATCAATTGATAAAATTTTCCGCTGGAACAGCTTATCTTTGCACCCAGGGCCCAGTTGTTCAAAGCTGGATTAGCGCTAATCCAGGATTAACTCTATAGGTCTTACTGAGAGTTAACCCAGGATTAGCACTAATCGGGCTTTGAACAACTGGGCGGCCAGCTTCCTCAAATTCGTTGACAAGTGTGTTTATTCTCTCTATAACTTCAATCAATAAAGACCTTCATTTATTATCATTTAATCATTTCTTAAATTCCCGTGATCTTGTGAAACATGCTCTTATATTAATCCAGAATCATACGCTGCTGAAAGCGTTTTAAGACCACGCCAGCAATGGTCTAACAGTTTTAGCCAAGGCTGTCTTATTATGAAAAGTCAATGTTGGTTTTGTTTTCTTTCACA